GAGGATTTCGAGTCTTTGCTGCTGCATATGTTGAAAAATGTGAATATTAGTGTCTTGCAAGATGATCCAGCTCTTCATTTACTTGTGATTAATTTGTAACTCTACACAACCAAATTTGGGATTTTACTTATTTATTTGAACATCACTCTGAAGATCCTTTTCTAGTGAATGCCTATGGTAAGTCGTTGAGTGATTTTATACCTACAAGTACTATGATGTGATTTATTTACTAGGTGCCGAATCCACAAGTCATGACAAAGGGCTAATGCGAGTGCTTATAGAAATTGTTCGTGATGATCTAAGAGCAAAGTGAAGTTACAATCAGCTTCGTGTACATTGGTACATCTTATGGTTGAAGTCTTTGCTCGTGAGTTTCTTGTAGCTGCATAAGCGCCATGCAACTTTGCATCTTCACTACTTGTCCGAGTTGTTACATTATCTCCAATCCATCAATTTGTGGGCAAATCAATTATTTTTAAGCAAGTGTGTTTTCATGTATATTAGATGTATCAAGTTGTATTTGTTATATTTATTTTGTAGGTCTCAACAATTGATGCAAAAATGGCTTTTGGAAGGTTGACGAGGAATAAGAAACATGAAGAACTCAATCCCTCATTTTGCATTTTAGATGTTTTTTATTCGTTTTGAAGTGTTAGATTGCATGTTTGGATCATTTGAAACATGTTTTAGGCATTACACTTCATGAAAAAATGATTAAATTCATGTTTTTGTAGAAGTTGGAATTATAGTAAACAGTGAAAAAGTGTAGAAATTTGCACTTCAACAAAAAATCCTAGAGATCCGTGAGGCTATCTCACGAATCCCTGGTACCTTGCGGATCTTGAAAGGTTTTTTGTTAAAAAAAAATATATTTCAATTTTTGTTTCTCCTTTCTCCTTTTCTTTCTTAACCACACACTCCAAGTTTGTGCCTTTTACATCATTTGAATGTTAACTAGTTTGTTTGCCATTTTTGCATTATAGATTTCTATCACTAATGGTTATTGTGACGACTCCACTGCCCCTTAAGACGAACCAGAGGGTTTAGCGGGGCGCCTGCCTAACTCTCGCCGAGACTTACTCACTAGCATTCTTAAAAATGGTAATTCACACCTCTAAATTAACATAGAAGGTTCTCAAATCAATCATAATTCAATTTCATTTACAAACCAAAAGTGAAAATGTAGCTTTACATTGCCAAATATTCCAAATACATTCAATCCATAAAAGTACAACTACAAGGAACTTATACACCCTAAATCACGCTTACTTGCTCCAGCCTCCACTCCTATAAGGAAAACAACTAACGGAATGAGTTAAAAGTCCAGTAAGGTTCCCAAACAAGCAATCAAGCAGGCAAAACACGGAAACATTTACATTTAGCACTTTACACACATGGCACAGTAATAAGCAGTCATTCAAGAATCAATCGTTCATTCATTGAAAGGATACGTACTCACTTGGAGCCATTCATTCAAGTCATTCATTCATTCATTCGCCATCCATTTTTCTTATCCCTCCAACATTGGAAAACATTTGCAAGTGAAAACTCCTTCAGTGTTCATGTCATTCATTCATTGATTTCATTGCATTGAATTCACTGGCCAGTTCTCCACCAAATTTTGTGGTAATACTCTAGTATACCAAACATTGTACTAGGGTCACCAGCCGCCCGACCGAGTCCGTTTCTGACTCGAGTCAACTGGCAAAGAAGGGCAAGGGCCCATTTCAACCAAAAGACTTGCATTCATGCACAAGTAGCATTCAATCATTGAAAATTCACTTTTGCTCGGGTCAAGTGCGATAAAGTACACATTCGCCTATCAAAAATCCATTTAGCAATCATTGGAAAGTATTTTATATTCAAACAACATTCACAACATTCCACATAGTCATTTAAAGTACACACATGCAAAGAACACTCACTAATGATTACTATTTATCAAAATCGGGTTCAAGCCTAGCTCTCTGACTGGATTCAAAATCTGCGATCAAATGTCGAATAGCAAAATGCAATCAAGTAGGGTTTCAAAATAGATGACCTTCGCTTATTCATATCAAAGAAAAATCAAGTAAATAGAACTCATTTAAATGGTAATCATAATGTTTAATAAATCTTAAAAAATACATGCCCGCTCTTTTGGTTTTGGTAAAGAAATAATTGCAACTTTTAAGTTTATAACTTAAAAAATACATGCAATTAGAAAATCTTGTTTAATGTGGCCGTTACTTTATCTTTGAGAAATGTACACTTTTGACAAAATTTCAGCTTATAAGTCATCCACAAGGTCAACTTAAACATCCCTAAGTAAACTAAATCCAATCACAAGTCACACCCCTACTTCCACTTTCACTCATTTACCCCATAAGAAGAAAAACGGACAGCACTTCCTCCATTGTTCTTAACTTTTCCTCCTATTTTTCAAGCCAAATTTCATGTCAAATCAGCCCAAATCAATACCACAAGTTATAAGGTAAAATCGGTTCTTATACTAGGCCACAAAACCATATAATTTAAGTTTATGTCTAGCATATAAATACCATATATCAAAGCTGAAAAATTCTCTAATAAAGCTGAAATTTTAGAACTAAAGCTCGAAATTTCTATTTGAAAGCTAAAAAGTCACAATTAAGCTACAAATCTTCACACAAGTCTATAACCAAGCTAGATACCATCATATCATGGATGACCAATATAAAACATGGCTGAAAAACATAAAACCCTAGGCTGAAATTTCACCAATTTTCACCAATCTAAGTTATAATCCATAAAACTTCCAATTTCAAGTCATCTTCTCCATAAATTGAAAGATAAGAAAGAGAAAGGAAGTTTTCCAACTTAGTACCTTCAAACCCCTTGAAGAAAGTGGAGAACCAAGGCTGTCCTCTCCAAAAAATCTCTACTACAAGTTTCCTTGCTACCTTAGTGCAACTTTGTTCGGTTTAGATTTGTGGTTCTTGTTGATCTTCACTCAAACAAGGCAAAAATCAAGATGGAAATGGAGGTTTTCTTCTCTCTTTTTCTCTCTCTTTTGGTCGGCCAAGGTAGGAAGAAAATGAAGAAAACTCGGTTCACTTGGATGATAAAGATGGAAGAAAGCTTTTGGTCAAACAAGCCCTTGATTGCTAACACTTGGCAAGCATCCCTTTTTCCTTCTTTTTTTTTCTTTTCCTTCCCTCTCTTGGTCAAGAATTTCGGCCAGCCTTAGAGCTAAATTAAGGGAGGATAAATGAAAGGAAAATAAGAAGATTAGGGAAAGAAAGTATTAGTCAAGTGGTGTTCTTAACGGGTAACAAACTGCGTGTGTTGGTTCAAGCCTATTTCCTTAATTCTCTTGTACTTTTGTTTTAATTTATGATTCACTAACTTACTCTTAGCACTTTTAATCACATCATTCCTCTTATTTAATACCCGCTCTTATCAACCAAATTTAGTACACACACCTCACCAATTGATCACACTACCATTATACACCTTAAACCCTAGCATGCACCAACTATAAAAGTAAAAGTAAAACTCTCAACTCTATTATTTGTTATACCTACTAAGGCACGTAATTTAGTATTAAGAAAATTATAAATTAACTTATTCAAGAATAAAGGAAATTATAAGAAAATATAAATGAATTTGCAAGTCCTCACAGTTATTATATGAAACTTTTGCACTCTTTGACTTCCATTTATATAGGGAATAGTTGTAATTCAAGAAAAATGAAGTCATAAAAGGTTGCAAGCAAGAGATCAATTCACTATAGAAGGAGTATTTCTTTTACTCTTGCTTTTCCTTTTCACACATTGAGAACAATGTGCACTTTAAGTGTGGGGAGAGGTTTATTACTTTCTTAATTGTGGTTATTTAAGAGAAAAATGGTTCAAATTTTTTAAATTTTGTCAATTTTCAATGAAGCTCCATGACTATTAGTAGTCAAATTCTCCCTTTAAAGTACAATTGATGTGTCTTAAGCATCTCATTTCCTATTTGATTTGAAATTAGCTATTATATGACTAGGATTTTTGCGATAAAGAAAGTATATCCTGTAAAGTGGAAATAGTTATGCCTTGAATTTGCATGCTTGACAAGTTTCCTATTTGGATTGAATTTCACAAATTGAGTGATGAATATGGTCAATATTTGCATTACTTTTTCTACGATCATTCTATATGAGAAAAGTTGCTAGAACAAAAAGAAAAAAAAAAGAAAAAAGAAAAAAAAAATAAATAAATATTTACTCCAATGATTCTTGAATATTAGTAATCGAAAGTTTTCACCTACAAATGTCAACTTTAGAATAAAATAGCTCTTGAATTATGAGTATGCAAAGCAACTCTAGTTAGTGATGAAGTTGAATAACCGGAGGTCTTCATCTACTAATGTCGATCTTCATGTCAAAAGACATCTTCACTACTTCAGAAAGCTATTTGTTGTTGTATTGAATAAATCCTTCTTTGAATAATAAAGATGATCATGGAAGTTGTATGCCTTGACTTGACCATATGAGTTGTTTAAAAGTGAAATTGAGTTGAAGGGAGGAAATGAGTTGAACAAGTCTTAATTTTTGATATAATGATCTCTCATTTACTTGGTATGATAAGTATTTGTGGTGGAATGAATGTTTGTATAATGGTGATTTACCTTGTTATTAAGGAAATGAATTTAAAGGATACATGAGCTCAAAGGGATACATTTGAACTATTCTGATGGTTGGTAACTCTTAAATTACTTGAAAACAAGCAATAGTTCAAGTATGAGGGAGTTTGATTAGGATGTAGTTTGCGTATTTTTAGTTAGGTTTTAGGTTAAATTTTGGGTGTGTTTTAAGTTAAAATGAAAGAATTGAATTCATTTTGTGATGATCCTACCTTTCCCCAGGGCGTACTCAAGGGTTTGGCGGACTACTTGCTCAACTCTCGTCAGAACTCATTCACTTACATTCTGGAAATAGTCTTTCACGCCTCTAGATTAACATAGAAGGTCCTCAAATCAACCATAATTCAACTTCATTTTACAAGCCAAAAATGAAACTTAACTTTACATTGTCAAATATCCCAAATACATTCAATCCATAAAAGTACAAGTACAAGAAACTTATACACACTAGTTCACGCTTACTTGCTTCAACCTCTATTCCTATAAGGAAAATAAACTAATAGAATGAGTTAAAAATCCAGTGAGATTCCCAAACAAGCATTCATGCAGGCAAAACATGGAAACATTTACATTAAACACTTTGCACACGTGGCACAGTAATAAGCAGTCATTCAAAAATCAATCATTCATTCATTGAAAGGATACGTGCTCATTTGGAGCCATTCATCAAGTCATTTATTCATTCATTCGCCAACCATTTTCCTTATCCCTCCGACATTAGAAAATATTTTCAAGTGAAAACTCCTTCAGTGTTCAAGTCATTCATTCATTGATTTCATTGCATTGAATTCACTGGCCAGTTCTCCACCAGACTTTGTGGTAATATTCGAGTATACCAAACATTGTCCCATGGTCACCAGCCGCCTGACCAAGTCCGCTTCTGGCTCGAGTCAACTGGCAAGGAAGGGCAAGGGCCAATTCAGCCAAAGGCTTACATTTATGCACAAATAGCATTCAATCATTGAAAATTCACTTTTGCTTGGGTCAAGTGCGATAAAGTACACACTCGCCCATCGAAAATCCATTTAGCAATCATTGGAAAGCATTTAACATTCATAACATTTCACATAGTCATTTAAAGCATACACATGCAAGAAACACTCACCGATATCAGTAGAGTAAATGTCAAAAGTTCGTTCCCGAGTTATGCTCGTGCTCACCAACAAACCTTAAGAACAGCCAAGATAAAGATATTATGGTCCAACCATCCAAAGTTTAAGTGAACAAAGTTCGCATATTAGACTCAAGTATGAGCCACAAGCCTATACAAGATGGCCTCTCAAACATGTAGGGTTCAAGGCCAAATTTGAAGGTGCAAATCAAGGAAAAATCTAAATGTATTCTTAGAGTGAGGAGAGCAATTTAAGCATCCAAAATCTCACCAAAAAAAGGTTTAAAATCCAAAAAATGTTTTCCTAAGTTTTTCCAAGTCCCACTCAATCCGTTTGATAAAATTTTCAGATTTGGTGACATTCTTTGAAAAAGCATAACTTGAGTTTCATAGGTCGAAAAATCATAAATCTCACACCGTTAGAAAATAGAGTAAAAAATCTGCAACTCCCTAGAAGATATCTTCATAAAATTTGGCTCATAAATTAGTCAAATATCAGCCTCAATTCACTACTCAACTAAGTGCAAAAATAGGGCAGTCTTGGATTTCCAGCCCACTTTGAAATTTTGCTGGTATTTATAGACAATAAACCAAACCATGAATTTTACACGGTTAAAAGAGCTATGAGTCTAGTTTTCAGATGCAATAAACGAGACTCAATTTGGATTTTTCTATATCAAGATATAACAAATTTCCTAAGACTGCTAGAGTCTCTTGCGGGAAAATTTTTCAGCAATACTTGACTCAACCTTCCCACTTAAACTCATGATTTTTTGTTCAAATCTAACTCACAATCAAAGTTTAATGTCTAACAAAGTTTGTGGAGGGAAATACCAAAATTTTTTAAAAATAAGGGCTAACAACACTCAAAAGTTTCGACCAACAAGAAACTTTCAAAACAAAAATTTTCCACCAAAATTTGCAACAAAATCCAACCAAGATTTAACCTTTCCATGAGATATACACACCAGCCACAACATCAAGCTTTAAAGCACCAAAATCTACCACAAATATTCATCAAAAAAGCACAAGAATGTGCCTCAAATCATCTATCTAACTTGCCATGAAAACACAAGGAATTTTCCTCAAGTCATCTATCCAAGAAATTGCAAGATAAGAAAGAGTAGGAGAGTTTCTTAGCTTAATACCTCAAACCCCAAGATAAGTTGCAAGACAAGAACTTTCTTCCTCAAATGATTCCACCAAAAGCTTCCTTCCAAGTTTAACTCAAGATTAATCGGTGTGGATTAGGGTTGGTGTTTGGATTTCTCATGGATTGAGTAAAAAAATTGTATCTTTATTAGATACCCTAAACACTCAAAAGATTATTTGTTTATAGGCGAGGAACTGAATGGAAGCATAACTAAAATTAAGAGGTAGAATTGCTTAGCAAGCGTGAGGTTCATGAAAGTCTTGAATTCTATGAATTAGGCAATCCAGATATTTGCTTTACTATCAATCTGGGAGATAGTAGGAGCAACATAACTTCTAGTAGTATATCTCAATCTAATGAGAGTTTGGGACAACTTTACCTTTGTACGAGTGAACATGGAACCATCCCTTGTGCCTAGCATCTTGCAAAGTTTTGATGGGGTTCTAACTTAGGGTGGTTTACATGCTTATGAGGTACGTCTTTCACTAATTCAAGAGTCTGTGGTCCCTAAACCTTCAAAGTGGGGCTTCACGAGTTGCATATCTGTCAATTCCAAAGGTTCCAAATCGGTGATTCAAATGATTCCCTAGACACCGCACAAATGCAACGGCCACATGTCTTCTTTTTTTTTTCTTTTTATAGTCGGTAATAGTCTATTTTACACCTACTCCTACTCCTACTCCTACTCTATCCTATTTAGCGGAGGACACAATGGCCACATGTCTTGATAGATCAATTTTAGTGCTAACCAATTTTTTTAAACTTGGACTGGTTAGAGAACCGGTAGAATATCCAGTTCCATTTTTTTTCGATCCAATCGGTTGAACTGACCGACTCATCGATTCTCTGATTTATTAATTATTTTAAATATAAAAAATTAAGAATGTTGAGAAACTATATGCAATACAAAAAGAAATTCTTAAAATAATGGGAGATTTCAAAGAAATAAGGATACTGTTATTCATCTCAAAAAAAGAGAAAAGTTCATTGTATAATAACTAAAAAATCGAGGAGTTAGAAAAATTTTAAAAATTCATCTATATCACATATTGAACAATAATCTCGTGTCAAAAATTTTTTGAACTTATGCTTAAAACAACAAAATAGTCACTCCAAAAAGAAAAGAAAAAAATGGAAGAGAACAAAGTTCTAAAGTACCAATTTTCATCAACATCTTCTCTTCCATTTTCCATCATCTCTTTATCATCACCTACAAGCCTTTCATGCTAAAAATTTTCAGATCTGTATTCTTGAATATTTTAACACCACATAAATAGAAAAACATAGGGATATTTATAAGAAAAGAAAATAAAGGTAGAAGAGGATCATTGTAGGTAGCATGGTAGTGCGTTGGCTTTGAGATGCTTCTGGATGTTGTGGGTAGTCTGATGCAGGAGTGAACATGGAGGGAGACAGCTATGGAAGAACTGGCGAGGTTTGCGGGTTTTGTTACTTTTTTAGTTGATTCGGGTCTTTTATTTTTGGCCCACAAAGTTAAATATTGAAGCTGTTGACGTGTATTTTGGGCTCTGGCAGCCCAATAGCATACAATGCAACAGCCCAATACTCACAAAATGATGAATTAAATGGGTACAAGTAAAAAATCAAGAACCCAAATCTGACTGATTTAGTCGGTTTTTTACAAGTTCATGGATTTTTGTCAATTCATACCATATTTTGTTATTTTCGGCTTTCTAAATGAACCGGACTGGAGCTCTAGGTGATTCGCAATTGAATCGGTCGAACCGACCGTTCCAATCCAATTCTAAAAACATTGGTGCTAACAGGAGTGTGAGAATGAACACACAAATACGGTTATGCAAAAGCATGTATGTTATGCTGTATTTTCAGGAGATAGAGAGATTAACAACTACCACATGTGAAGATATACATAAACAAGCCAACTAAAAATTATAAAAATAAGGCAGGCAAACATGTAATATATGTAAACAGCTAAGAAATAGTTTAAAGCATTTTAAAAAAATAAACACAAATATGCACCTAAAACATCCAACCTCGATATGAAAAGGAGTTAACTTTGTGAAACATAATTAAATCAAGTGTTGGGTCTCTTTAGTATCCTCAGTGGAGTTACCACATTATCATACTACACGAAGTTACTGGATAGGGATTACATGATGACAACCTCTATGAACTTACTGGATAGGGGTAAGTGGGATGAACCGAAGAAAATAGAAACCTAATATGTGACATGAATATTACTACTAATCTAGAATGGGATTTGGAAAAGAGAAAATAAAAGACTGGAGTCTCCATTTGGTGTGTGCTATGCATCGAGACACTAATTTTAACCTAAAAGAAAGGAAAAAATAATAAAAAATAAACCTAACACTTTTTGTGATGTGATGTATGTGAGATAAAAAGGTAATTGGGAAGATAAAAATGTGTATTGAAAATTGTAATGATGATGTAAGTAAATAAAATTAGGGAAATAATGCTCAATCCAAACAAACCCTATGACTTTTTAGAGAAAAGACTTGAAATGACTAAGCAAAATATCCTAGAAAAAAGTAAGACAAAAACTCTACAATGCTCCTGGTCTAGAAAATAAGAGAACAAGATTCGAAAATCCTATTAAGGAAATGGAAGGCTAAGACACTCTAGACCCAAGCATCCTTTCACACCCATCGAAACTAGTTTTGTGATGTAATTTATGTTTCCAATAGATTAACCCTAATTTGTATTGAGTTTGGATGTAACTATATGAATGAACCTAAAAGATAGCCCTTTGCCGGTCAAAATGTCCCCTGAACCTTACACGGAAACTTACAAGAAAGGAGAATAAATTAAAAATATAATACAAAAAGAAAAATAAAGGAACAAGAAAGTTTAAAGTCGTGATAGTTGGATTTGCTTTCCTTCCATTGGAAAGACATTTTGACTAGAAAAGTCAGTGGACATCCTTTCCATACCAGTAGGGTTATTTCCTATATCTAAGTATATAACTACAGACAAGGCATGCAATTACTTTAAAAGAATCATTGATCCAAACCGTTGAAATTTTGGGAAAACACAATTTTTTTGGGTTTCTCTTTTTAAGCTTAATAAATATATATACACATATAGGCAAATGAACTATCTAAAAGTCCTATCTTGTATGTCTTGGTAGAAGACTACATGAAATCAATGTTTTAAAACTCGGACCATTAATTGAACCGGTGAGGTGTTCGAGTCAAAATTCAACCGATCGGATCGGTTCAACCCTGGTTCAATGATTTTTTTAAAAATAATTTATATAAATATATATGCACAAAATAAGACATGCAATGGACTCATTTAAAACTTTGTATGATAAAAAGTTTAATATTTTCGAATAACTTGGATTTTCAAAAATAAATTTTTTAAATTATAAGTTGAAACAAATAAATTTCATTTCAATCTCAATTATATTTACCAAAAAATAATCTTAAATTCAATCCAAAATATACCACAATATTTTGAAATTATACAAAATTCACGTCTATGGTAAATTACATATTGTGAGTTTAAATTTTAATTTACGTTTTTGGAATTTAGAAATTGCAATTTTAAAAAAAAAAAGAAGTTTGAAATTTAAAGGAAGTCAAGAGAATCGAAAATAGAAATGCAAACTTGATAAGAAACAAAAAATGAGATAAAAGTGAGTGGTTGTGGCATTTAATAATTAGTCTTTAGGGTTTAAGAAAAATAATTCTTTTTTAATTTTTTTCAATTTAATGGACAAACATAAAATTAAATGATGGAAGAAAACCCAATAAATTAAAACTAAAAAGGTTTGATTAAAAAGAGAGTGACAAAAGAAAAGAGGAGAGAGAGAGAGAGAGAGTTGAAGATAGAAAGAAAGAGTCATAAGAAGATGAGATTTTATAAAAAAAATGGAGAAAAGAAAGATAGATGTTTGTTTTATATAAATGAGTTATTATAAAAAACTCACAGGATATGATGGTATAATGGTTACTACATTGGTATTTTATCACAAGCGTCTTGAGTTCGATTCTTGGTAGCTGCATTTTGCAAAACTTAAAAAAAATTGAGAGGAAAGTTAAAAATCGAAAACCATCAAAACTTAAAAAAAATTGAGAGAAAAGTTAAAAACCCAAAACCATCGGTTCGACCCGGTTCAACCGATCGAACCGGCCAGTCCAGTCCGATTTTCAAAACATTGTCATGAAATGAAAAACATGCAATGTATAAAATAATTTATATAGTTTATATGACTCTTAAAACTAGAAGCAAATTACATGAAATGCAATATACCAACACAAAATGAATGAGACGTGATTTGAGCAGATTCTTGTTATGCAAACGTTGGGCTAGCACAAGAGAAACTCTTTTTATGCAGACGTACCGTACTAGTGCATATATGCGAATATAAAACCACAGAGCATAATTCCAAAAAAAAAAAAAAAACCCTAACTAGCACAGTAGATCCTATTGCCCCCCCCCCCCCCCCCCACAAAAAGAAGGGGCTCACCTATACAGATTCTAATAAGTAAATAATTAAGTATAGATATTATGATTAAATAAAATTAACTAATATGTAAAATAAATTAAATAATTCAAACACCTATCAAGAAATTAACATTTAACAAGGTTTTGACAACTTGAAGTGCCAAAACTAACATCAAAGAAATTTTAGTGATTCTTTTTTGAGGTTTCCCCTCATGTTTAGTTTTCTTTGAGGGTGATGACAAGCTTTGGTACAGGATTGAGTACAACCCACCAATTGAGCCCATCCGTTTGCACGGTTTGCACCGAACGTGTCTTATTAATGAAGGAAATGATTAAGGGAAGTAAATTTGGGAGAGTCGGGAGTCATGAAAGATGGAGTGGAAAAAAAATAAAATATGAAATGGAGAATCGTTCTTTCGTGGAAAAAGCCATGAAAGGCAAATTTTTAATGAGGGAAATGATTAAGGGAAGTAAATTTGGGAGAGTCGGGAGTCATGAAAGATGGAGTGGAAAAAAAATAAAATATGAAATGGAGAATCGTTCTTTCGTGGAAAAAGCCATGAAAGTCAAATTTTGGGGCATTGAGAACCTCAAAATTCGTAGAGAAAAATTCTTTTTTGAAAAGGAAAATAGTGCAGAGTGATTGATATGTTCTTCAGAAGAGATAGAGACAGAAAGGGAATCAGTAGTTGAGATGAGGATAGCAAACCCAAGTAGCAAACTCAATTCTTCTTATTATCTCTCATTTTTTTGAAGTTATTTATTCTTTTTCTTCTTCTTCTTCTAATTTTCACGATTTCAACTAGAATTGGACCCTCTACTTTTAAAACCAGAAGATGGAGTGGGCTTAAAGACACAGAGAATAAATACAAAAGAATGGGCCAAACTCTCTCTCTCTCTGTAAAAGTCAAAACTAGTAATTTATCCAAAATTAGAAAAACAAAGCCAAGATGAAAATAAA